ATACACTGAGCAGCGTACAACAACAACTTGCATTTCTATAGCGACCTTCATGTGGGGTAGTGTCCCAGAGTGTTTAACAGTGATGGAGTCTGACCCTGAGCCAGGGGGAGAGGGAAGGGGGAGGTAACCATAAGCCGATCAAAAACGACGGTCTTTAGGTGGGATTTAAAAGTGAAAGCATGCTTATTTACAAAGAAGGTAGTAAAGAACAATAAACTTACCTATAGATAGGCAAGCCACCCTGAACTTTGATCTGTATGTTCTAACAGATGGTGCACTAAGCCCATTACTACAGCACTGGGAGAGTCTAGTATGGATTAATTACTTTATACATTTCAACTACTGAAGTTTTACCACTGGCTCAATTTATCTTCACATATATACACACACACAAACACACGTGTTCAATGTCTAAGACTTAGTTATTAGAGGCCACTGATTCACCCACAAAATACAGTCACTCCACTTTACAGTATATTCTGCTCTTCATTTCTACTCATTTCTATTAAGTATTGTTCTGGTCCCCACAGCACATCGTTTTTTTGATTTATTTTGAAGCATGTTCCAGGGCATGGCTTTCAGTTTTAACATGTGTTCTGTGCCATCACTAAACATATTGTTCTGGCTCTTCTACACGACCAGACTGATTTGAAAACATGAATAGATCATTTTTAGGCAACAAAGCTGTTCTTTTGGATATTTCCAATTAGGATGCATCAATTTCAGCATTTAAAAGGATGATGTTACCATGGTGAGGTGCTTTACAAAGCACTTGATCCAAATTTATACCCAAAAGGAGACCACAACGACGCCATCTAGTCCTCATGCCCATGATTGTGTGGTTTGTTTCAAACTGAGACTTGAACTATAAATAGTGAGCCAAAAGGTGAAACACAATTATAATAATTATAATAATACTCCTTGCATTTGATATAGAACTTATGTCATCGAGACATCTCAAAGCGCTTCACAGGATATACTGTAATGTGAAGTGATTGTGTATTTTGTGGGCAAAATTTTCAATTCAACTCTTATCCTGAGGCAAGGTGGTGGTTGTATAAACAAGTTATTATGTTTCCTGCACTGTGAAGATTTCAGTTGTCATTAATATATATAATAATCCTTGCATTTGATATAGCGCTTTTCACGTCTTCTAGACGTCTCAAAGCGCTTCACAGAATATACTGTAAAGTGAATTGACTCTATATTTGTGGACAAACGCGGCAGCCAATTGCGCACAGCAATGTCCCACAAACATTCATGGATTGAAAATGACCAATTTATCTTTTTTTGGTTTTGGAGGGATTATTATTAGGCGTGTGGAGTAAGGAAACTTGCCCAAGGTTTGGCCCTGCCTGGAATTGAACTCAGATCTCTTGCTTGCAAAGCGAGTGCTCTAACCACTGAGCTATAGAACTCCACAACTGAAAATATTAATGTCACCACCACTTTTGGAAGCTTATTGTAGAAGAGAATTATTCCCCAGGTATCGATTAGAACTGTTGTAGCAAATCAATAATTAACACTTCAAAATTGAACACATTTAAATAAGTTCGATTCCCTGCTTTACATCTGAAAACAAGAGGTATGTTAGTGTTGCTTCTGGATGAATGCCATCTATACAATCTCAGCCTTCAACATCCTGACGTAATTGCATAGAAACAAAAAAACGAGAAAGGAGAAGGCCATTCAGTGCATTGAAACCTTGGGTAAATTTCTTTACTCCACATGCCTAATAATAATCCCTCAAAAAAAATTGATTATTTCAATCCCTGACTGTTTGCGGGACACTGCTGTGCGCAATTGGCTGCCGTGTTTCGCCCACATATGCACAGTCAATTCACTTTACAGTATAATACCAAGATCTACCGCTGCGCTCTTGCTTCTGCCAAATCCTCCTTCTACTCAAAGGTTATCTTGGAGACAAAGGACAACCCCAGGCTTCTTTTTTCCACAACAAACCGTCTCCTCCGTCCACCTTCCCATGCCTCGCCCAACCTCTCCTGAAACTCCAACTGTGAGGAGATGCTGGACTTCCTTGAATCCAAAATCGAGGGGATACATACGTTCAGCCACCTCTGCCCCATCCACCGCCACCCCCGCATTACCTCTCCCTCATGACCCAACCCCCACCCATCCCCCCCTACACTCCTTCGACCCTATCTCTCCCTCCTCCCTCACCGCCATCATTCGCAAACTCAAACCCACCACCTTATCCCTCGATCCCATCCCACCTCTCTCCTCATCTCTCAGCTCCACCTCCTGGCCCCTCTCCTATCCGACGTCATCAACCTCTCCTTGTCCACCGGTTCAGTTCCCACCCGACTAAAAACAGCCGTCATCACCCCCATCTTGAAAAAATCTTCCCTGGATCCATCCCTTCTCTCCATCTACCACCCCATCTCTAACCTCCCATTCCTCTCCAAAGTCCTGGAACAAGTTGTCACATCCCAGCTCCGCTCCTTTCTTTCTCGCCATTCCTTCTTTGAACCCCTCCAATCCGGCTTCCGTGCTGCCCATAGCACGGAAACAGCCCTGGTCAAAGTCACTAATGACATTCTGAACATCTGTGATCAAGGCTCCCTCTGCCTCCTTGTCCTTCTCGACCTCTCTGCCGCCTTCGACACTGTTGACCACTCCATCTCTGTCTTGGCCCTCTCCTCTTTAATATCTACATGCTCCCCCTTGGTGACATCATCTGCAGACATGGGGTCAACTTCTATATGTATGCAGATGACACCCAACTCTATCTTTCTGCCTCCACACTCAACTCCAGGACCACTACTGTCCTGACAGACTGCCTGTCAGACATCAAGTCCTGGATGAGGGTAAATTTCCTACAGTTGAATGTGAACAAGACTGAGACCCTCCTGATTAGCTCATGCCAACACCTCTGTACCTCAGGCTCTGGCAACATCAACCTCCATGGATGCACACTACAACTCACCAAGCCAGTCAGGAACCTAGATGTCTTGTTCGATCCTCAACTGTCTTTTCTTCCCCACATCCAAGCCATGACCCGCTCTGCCTTCCCTCACCTCCGTAACATCGCCCAACTCTGCCACTTCCTCACCCCTCAGGCCGCTGAAACTCTTGTTCATTATTATTATTATTAATAATAAGGTTATTATTATTGAGTCTTTTCGACCAATTTACTACATCCCAACATTTTGTTGTATCACTTAAAACATCCACGGCTAAAATCTCTCCGTTCTCGTACAGCATTACAGATGCATTATTCACCTTTATAACTCTGTGTGAAGAATTACTTTCTACCCCCAGCAAGAGAGAGAACCCGGTTTGATTCCTGGGCAGGGCGAAACCACAGGCAAGTTTCCTTACTTCATGTGCCTCTGTTTACCTAATAGTAGGTAGAAACCTGTTTTTTTGTCAATTGGCGGATTGTTTTCCGGGGGGTAACAGTCCCTCAAAAAAACATTTTGGTCACTCAATCCACGATTGTTTGTGGGACATTGCTGTGCGGAGTTGGCTGCTGAGTTTCACCCATAAAATACACAGTCAATTCACTTTACAATAAAATCTGTGATGCGCTTTGAGACATCTCAATGAAGTGACGTAGCACTATATCAAATGCCAGGATTATTATTATTTTATAATTATTGTATTTGTTCTGGTGTCTTTCACCTGGGGGAGCAAGATATCTCATTTGATGGATGGCAATTCTAACATTGTGGAAAATCCCCAAACTGTACTGAAGTGTCAGCCAAGGCTATGCGAGTTTAAAGTCCCAATGTGTGGCTTGAGCCCACAACCTTCTGACAGAGGTGAGAGTGATCCCAACTGAGCCAAGCTGACACCCATCCCATCCTTGGCAAACAGTGAAACTTTCTATTAAGGTTATCCCACCGTAAAGCAAATCTTCCAGCAAAGCCTGTGCTGGTTATTTATCTCCTTCAATGAAGATTTTACAGACTTTGTTTATTGGACCCATGATTACAGAATTAGTCAATATTTGGACCACGTTCAGTTCTTGGAAAAGGATTTTTTTTAAAAAAATGTGACTGAATGCATTACATCCCACTGGTGTCTGTACTAAGAGTGCAAGATTTTCCTACTTTTAAGACTGCACACTGTACAGTTTTGTTTGAAGGACACGGTGGGGGTGCTGATGGTGGTGAGATGAAAATGCTCCCACCCCATGAGGCAGAGGTAGAACAAATAGATTGATAATATATGTTATGGAGTAATTCACATCGGGTCGCTTTGTGTGAGAATTTGTTTCCAGCTCAAAAAACAGAATCTAACCAACAACGCACAGTCCATCAACACGAACTCCCATTCAGATCTAAAGATTATCATCGCCCCACACCACCCCACACCACCCCACCCTCTGCACACAAATTCGTACCTATTAGACAAATTTATTAAAGCAACGACTGGGGAGGAACACGCACTTCTGTGGAAGCTTTGGGGGAACACGCAGTGCAGTGCAGTGCAGCGAAGTGCTGCACAGCCGTCAGTTTGACACATCGGTTCGCTCACAGAGGTTCGAGACCACTTAGCAAACGTGGAACACAAACCGAGTTTTTAAACCCCACCCCCCAACCCCCCAAAAAAATACAACAACAACAACAACCATCTTTTGCAATCTTCTCTTGCACCAGCCCTGGTGCACAGAAGTGTGGGGGGTTTCCCCCCCCCAAAAAAAATAATAAAGCAAAAGCAGCAGCTTGTGTCCTCCCCCCCTCTCTCCCCCCCCACTCCCTCTCTCTCTGTCTCCCCCCTCCCTCTCTCTCTGTCTCCCCCCTCCCTCTCTCTGTCTCCCCCCCTCCCTCTCTCTCTGTCTGTCTACTCTCTCTCCCCCTCCCTCTCTCTCTCTCCCTCCCTCCCTCTCTCTCTGTCTCCCTCCCTCTCTCCCCCTCCCTCTCCCCCTCCCTCTCTCTCTCTCCTCCTCCCTCTACTCCCTCTCTTTCTGTGGGTGGTTGTGAAAGTGATTTCCTGTGCTCCGAGGAGCCGGCAATGACGTGGCTGGGAGTTAGTTAATGGTGTACTTGTGGGGTGGGTGCAAAAAAAAAGAGGGTGGGAAGAGGGACGTGTCCGAGTGATTTAAAAAGGGATCGCTCGCTGCCTCCCTTCCACCTTCGTCCACAGTCTCCTCCATCCGAAGCCCATCAGCCGATCGTCAGCGCTTCGCAGCGCTCAAGTCACTGAGACTCAGTCGCCGACTCCGCGTCTCGTTATGTCAGACGGCAAACAGCAGACGGTGAGCCCCAAACTTTCTGAAACTCTCAGCATTTCGCGTTCAACTCACTGCGAGGGCCGAGGTCCTACGTTGTTGAGCTCCAGGGGTTTCAGCGATTCGAGAGTTGTTGTTTTTTTGTTGCCCGGTTTGCAGGGGATCCCCACACACATACACACACACACACCCCATCACACACACACACACCATCACACACACACACACCATCACATACACACACACCATCACATACCCCATCACACACACACACACCATCACACCACCATCACACACACACACCATCACACACACACACACCATCACACACACACCATCACACACACACCCCATCACACACCATCACACACACCCCATCACACACACTCACCATCACACACACACACACACCCCATCACACACACACCCCATCACACACACTCACCATCACACACACACACACACCCCATCACACACACACACTCACCATCACACACACACACTCACCATCACACACACCCCATCACACACACCCCATCACACACACCCCCCATCACACACACCCCCTGATGTTGTGGACAGCGGCACCGTATCTGCGCGGCTGTTCCTGCAGCAGAAATCTCTGCTTTGGGTTATTTAGACTTAAAATATAGCGCAGACACAGAATGACGAGGGGGGGGGGGTGGGGGTGGGCAGAGGTAACGCTTTCAAAGGAATTATTCCAACAGATGATTTCTAAAGTCCGGGCGGGGATTTACATTGATTTTTAGGGGCGGATTAGAAGTAATGCGCTTTGTCAATGCTGCGCTGATGTGTTTTTTTTTGCTACAGCGGATCGTCTCAATAGGTGAGCGCTGAGAGTAACGTCGAGGTATTCGGTACTGATGTAGATGACAAGTACAACTTGTTACGCGTTTGAGCCATGTAAAGTGTTGCTTGTATTCCAGGCGTCAGTGCAACAAACCTTGATTGTATGATACGAACAGTAGTTCATTCATGAATGCAAAGCTTTCACAGCTCAGTATGAAGTCAGACTTATTCCCCAGGTGGTGGTGGCTTTCCTGGTATTTCCTCCCAGGAATGCAGAATTGCCAGTTGACTACCCTCTTGGAATCGTTCTTACAAGAGAAAAGTGTCTTTTTTTGAGAAGAAACTACACGAACTGAAACGACCCATAGATAGTCAAAGCACATTAATATGGCAGTCGTTAAGACTCCCAAGTAGGTATTTGGCCATACAATTTGATAATGTGAAGCAGGAGAGGTCCTGTCTACTAAAATTTATATTTTTGTTCTCTCACTTAGATTGTACTATTCAAATCTATAATACTTCTAGTCAGCTTTTCAACTACAATAAAGTGTTCATTTGCAGTTAACTTTATTTACAATTTACCTGCATATTTATTTCAGTTCCAATAATGGAGAATATATTTGAATAAAATCACTTTTAACGCATTTCTTAGGAATTTCCTCATCGTGGTAAACATTTTGATTCGCCCACAAATATACGGTCAATTCACTTTACAGTCTATTCTGTGAATTACTTTGAGATGTCGAGAAGATGTGAAAAAGCGCTATATCATTTTACAAAGAAGTATAAAATGTTTTGACCATTTCCTAGCCTGGCTGATGCTAAGATTCAGCAGTGCTCTGGAAGTGAAGTTACCCCTAAACTCCATAGGATACAAAAGGTCTCCATTGATGCTCTGTGTGAGCCCGGGATAACCCAAGCTTATACACTGAGGATAATAGAAATGTTTAATGTACATATACAAAATGTTAGTTGTCCATAAGGAGTTTGTCTTCAAGCCCATCTGATCTCATCTTTCCAGAATGCCCACCCCATTCTCCCATGACAGCGTTAGACTAATTCTTAAATTAGTTCAGCATCCCGGTATTATATTCTTTCTGGTAATATGTTCTAGTCATTAATTTCTGCACAAACAAGTACGAGTCTGAAATCAGCAGCTTGCCCTAGCAGATGATAAAATCTTTCTAAAGTTAAAAATTAAACAGAATACAACTTCCATTTCACACGTTACTGTGTAGTTACCAGAAGCTGATGGTTGATAAAGTAGTGAAAACCATTCCTAGAAAATTCCCATCTACTTTTCAATGTACTTTTCCCTTTTAATTTATCTCAGTAGTGGTAGTTAGCTAGTTCTGTTTTATGTCACTAGGATTGTTTCAATAAACCATAATTATCCATAAAGACATCACTTGTTTTTTTTCATACCTGAATGAAGAAATAAATTTGTTGCAAACGTCAATATAAAATACAGAGATAACAATAAAAACTTGCATTTATATAGTCCCCTTCACATGGATTGGAGTCCCGGAACGTTTCATACAAGAGCTTCTTCAATGAATGTTAAGTTGCTATAAATCATGTTGACAGATCTCAACAACTTGCATTTATATACTTGCTAAGTTACTTCACACAGGTACCTAACAGTGCCGTGGCTTAACACTGAACGGAAAAGGCTAGGTGACCAAAGGCACGGTCAAAGAGAAAAGTTTTCAGGTGTGATTTGAAGATGGGCAAAGGAGGTCAGGATGCAGGGATTGAGGCAAGGAGTTCCAGAGATTCAGTGTATAGTAGCTGAAAGCACGTTTCTTTCAGTCCTGCACAAAACATACCAAGATATTCCTTATGTATGCTCACTTTAAATTAATGTGTATAGTATTATTTTTGATCAAAAATGCTGGATCAGTACATTTTAATTGCACAAATTAGTTTCTGCTGGCAATGTTCTTAGCCCTTTGATAAACTATGAAGTTACTGCTCTTTTCCCTGTCAAATCATCTCAAACAGCCTTGACCATGAGCATATGTTCCAATGTGGGGCTTAACTCCACAACTTTCAGACCTAAAGATAAAAGTGCTATCAACTGATTACATTCTGCCTCATTAGGAAAGAATAAACCGAGAACCTGGTTCTTTTCAGAGACCCTTGCCAGGACACACCATAATAGCAGAATGTGAGTGACTTGCTTCACTAGGAGGAAGTATCAGAACCTCTTCACAGCAGTAATGTTGAGATCAGTAGCTTAGCCACCTGGGGAGAAATCAACCTTGCTTTCTCCACTATTCCACTTCCGTTTTACAAATAAGTTGGGACCTCATCTCCAGCAATTTGTTAAGGGCTTTCATGAGCCAGCTGACACATTCTTGCAGCTGAATGCCTACAAGGTGAAGAATCTTTTTTTCTATTGAAGCTTTCAGTTACACAGTAACTACATTAAAATTCTACACAATCCACGAAGGAATAAAACAAGTTTTGTGAAGTCAAATGTGTATACAGGTTAGTTAACAGAGTGTGTGCATTTCACCACATCACATTGCACCAAACAAGAGTGACCTTTATCCTGGGTAAAAGTTCACTCATGCTCTTCAGCACAAAACCACTTGTTGAAAATGTAATCTCTGCATTGAATTTCAGAGAATCATTGCTTGAAATTGTTTTTAAATCCAAAAGAATCAAATTGAACATATAGCCATCCAATTTCCCTGATGATTCTTGAATTAACAAAGTTGTTCCATGTTGCAGGAGGGGTGAGAAACCACCTCATGAAAAGATCTTACTTGCTATTGCACATTATTTTAGAACATTCAAATGCTAACTAAATTAGGGTTTTATTTCAATGCTAGTAAGAGCTGCTTTACTAATGAAGATATCATCAGTTTTCATGTTGGTCAGATACATATTTTATATTTCTAAACAGCTTCATTATACCAGAGTCTGGAGTTTAGATATCATAAATGCAGACTCACTTTTTGAAACTTGAACATATACAACAATATTAATAATAATAATCCTTGCTTTTGATATACCAATTGCATATAGTAGTGTCCCACAAACAATGGTGGATTGCATGACCAAAGACAAAATTATATCACATGCAGGGCAAGAGCAGATTGTCCTTTTCGTCCTGAGAAACCAGTGCTATTTTAGTTGTGAAATTAATCATGCAGTGAAGAAGATTGAAAATAATGTAAACCAGGTAATGTATGAACTTGACAATAGCAATTCTAATAGTCAAAAGGCAAAATACTGCAGATACTGGTTTTCCATCCATTGTAATAGTACCATCTGAGAATGAGGCGGAAAATATAGGCTTCGGGTGTTTGCAAAGTTAGAATCTTCCACCAGATTCTGAAAAGTGCACTTCTATAAGAATAGTTCATAATTGAATGTTGTCTTTTAAAAAAGAACATAATTAATAATTAAAAACTATGAATAAGGGCTTCTGATTCACTGTGTATATTTAAGTATTTAAAAAAATGCTGTATTGTTTTCAAGTACTGACTAGTACACTATAGTTATCAAACAGCTTTATTTTTTTGTCAGTTATGTATGTGGCCAACAGAAAACACTGAAATAACTACAGTACTTACATAAATTGTCATTAGAAATTGTCACTCTTTTTTTATACAAAGTTAATAAGTTATTCACCAATACATTATTCCCTTTATTCTTCTGGACAATTCAATTTCCAAATTCAGAGCTTTTCCCCTCAAAATAAACTATGCTTGTGACTCAGTAATACTCAAGTTGCCGATTGGCGAAGACAAGAGATGGGTCTTATTTGATTAAGTAATCAATGCAAAATATTATTCTTATTGGTAGATGAAAGGAAAGCATCTTGCAGACACCATAGCAGTTATTGAAACATTGATTTTCTTTTAAATCTCCAGTCTAGTTACAAATGAATGTAAAACTAAGGTAGCATAAACAAATCAGCCAAGTGGCAAACCTAATGGCAAGGCAGAACACAATTGACCTCCAGGTCAATTTAAATCCGGCTAGGTGACATTCCCAGTGACAACTCCTTTTTGGTTTTGAGGTTGTGTGGCTTGTGTTAATTTTTTTGTAAACCTGTTGTCAGCTCTATTGATTCAGTTTACAAAGGACAATATATATTAAAAGTTAGGTTGGCTTTTAAGTTCTTGAGTTATTATAAAGACAATGTCAGGGTTGGTGGTTGTTTTGTTCCACTTTAATGGGAGTCTAGAGTGAACCTGGAATAAATTCAAATGTGCAGGAAATGCAATAGGTCTGTAAATAGTAATAATACTTACATTTGATATACTATTGTGTATTACTTGAATTTCATCCAGTCACTCTGACAATTCTAACAATAATAATCCTTGCATTTGATAGTGCCTTCACGTCTTTGATACGTATCAACGTGCATCAGAATATATTGTAAAGTGAATTGACTGTATTTTGTGGGTGAAAAAATACGCAAGTATGCTGATGGGTTTCAGCTTATATTTTTGATAGAATACTTGAATTAGAATATCTGTTCCAGGTACCAGTTTCAAGTTGTAAAATGGTGATGGTTTAAAATGCGATTAACATTTCCTTAATTACACAAGTACAAGCAACCATTCAGACAGCTCCTTTGTGAAAACCATCCTATAACAGGTACCTGTATTATTAGTATTTCAATGTCAAATAGGTTTGTAGTTACCAGGGAATTCCTGAGGCAAGCCTTTCAGCAGTATGAACGCCCCATATTGTCTTGGTTAGTTTTCTTTAGACAATGCATTGCTTTTCCTGCTCTACATGAATATCATATGTTCAACTTTCTTGGCTAATTATTCCGTGTATCACAGTAAGGTACTTGTGCCTACTAAAAAAAAATCCTGTTCTACATATGCACACAATATTGAAATCAATTGTTTGTTGTTTTCAGATCAAGATATATGGAACAGGAATAAATCAGTTTTTTGAGAAAGAACTCAGGTTTCTTTCCCATTGTAATTAAACTAGTATGAAAGTCTGATGTCTCAAATATCTTGTAAGGGAGATTAGTAGTATTTGAACCTGAAAGCAATGAAAGAAATGGATCCCCTGCTTTCAACAAATGCATAATTACACCAAAACTTTTCTGGTGCCTTTCCAGAACTCACTGAACTCGGAAGTGCAGAATCTGATCAGTAAATTAGCCTGGTTAACTCAAATCTATTCAGAGTTTCACAGATGAATTAACATTCTGGTCAGTTTTATATAACTAAGTAGCATTTAGTGTATGGTTAAGTGTGGCAAAACCATTAATGAAGCTGCTGCCTTATTGACTGGGATTGTCATTGAGTTTCCAGACATTGCATTACTCACACTTGGCATTTCAGAAAGCTGGGCTTGTGTGAAATTAATGAAAAAAATTGGCATTAAATTCTTAACTCAACAGACAGAACCTGCAGAGCACGAGTAGAAATGTTCTGAATTTACTTTTCTTTATTATTTTTACAGTGTGTACAGTTTCTTTAAAACTGGAACATGTCTTTTTGTAAAATATTCTGTTATGAAGGAGTACAGAAATACATTGTTTGTGTTCTTTTTACACAGGATATCTGCAAGTCCACCAACGTGGTGTTTCAGTCCCATCATGTCACCCGAAACAAGAGAGGTCAAGTTATTGGCACCCGTGGTGGATTCCGTGGATGTACTGTCTGGCTTACAGGTACAGTCCTCTCTGAGACTAGGTACTAGACATGATTCACTTTCTAATGTTTTAATCCAACCAACCACTTTCATACACTAGGGTATGGTGTGAGTTTTCTAGATCTTGGTAATTTATTGTGATTCCACAAAATACTCATTGCATCAATTTATTTCCATTTAGGACTTTCGGGAGCTGGGAAAACCACCATTGGCTTTGCACTGGAAGAGTACTTGGTTTCCCACAAGATTCCTTGCTATTCTTTGGATGGAGATAACATTAGACAAGGACTAAATAAAAACTTGGGGTTCACCTCTGAAGACCGTGAGGAGAATATCCGACGTATTGCTGAGGTGGCCAAATTGTTTGCAGATGGCGGTCTTGTCTGCATCACCAGCTTTATTTCCCCATTCACAAAGGTAACTTCACGAAAGGAAGAACACATTAATACATATCCTGTTCTATTATATGACTTTACTCTCTACCTCTTCTTTTTCTGTCCATTTCTGCCTTTGAACCAGTTACTAACTTGCGTTCCAATTTTCTCTCCATTTATTTGTATTTCAAGTCCTTGGGAAAGTATTTCACACTCACTTAGTCCTTTCTCTAGTGTCAGTTCCAACTCGTAGATAGGACATCAAAGTAGAAACGAGCAGTTTTAGAAGCCAGATACTAAAGATTTAGAATGTCAGGTGGGATTGGCAATTTAAGTTGCAATCTTGACTGGTGTTTCTCACTTGGGTATCCTTTAAACAACATTTGTAACATTCCTTGTGATCTGCATATATAAAGATATTGTTGCTATTTTAGAAGTGTCAGCACATAGTGCATAATATAACATCTATATTCGTTAGAAAGGCTCGACTCTGGCTTGAGTCTATGCGTTTTCAAATTCGATAGAACTAAATAATACTGCAGATATCCTAGGCTATCTGAACTTTTAACACACTAACACCTGAGCATGAGGAGCTGAATAATTACATTCTTTCAGGCATCACAGAGCTCCTGCCATTCATTGTTGTTTTTTTCACCATTATACACATACAATTAGTAGCTTGACAGGTTTCGATTTAAAAAGTCCATTTAAAACAGGCACTCAATAATGGGTGATCTCATTACAATGCTTATTGAATTGAACTCCATTAACAAACACCTCAGTATAAATTTCATCATAAATCCGGGATGAGCAGCATGATTGATACACTCGGCCTTGAAGAGATTGTTTTAGGGGCACTTCTGTTCACACCAAATGAAGAGGTGCCTATCGAGTTTGCCTCCACTCCTCAATGATCCTTTAAAGATTGTTGGACTCCTCCGAGAACACCCATTGGGGCAATTTATTATTCTACTATAATTTTAAAAATTGAAACTAAAACTAAACCCAATTTCAGGGTGCAAATGAGCACATGTAGAACGCTGATACTTGCTGTTAGTTTTTGCAACAGTGTGCACACACTCTGGCCTATTATCCAAAGTCAATGGCCAAGTTCTTTCACATCTTAAATTGAATAAGTCCTTTGAAGCACCAAGGAATCCAATATTGATGAGAGAGAAGTACAAGTCCAGCTCTACTGCTGCAAGCGATACCCATTGCCTGCTTTCAGAGAATAAGCAAATAATATTCAAGTAAGTTGCATCAGTCAGATGCCTATGTTCCAATTTAATACAAAAATCAAAAGCTGTTTCTTGTCTCTTTTTCAGGATCGTGAAATGGCAAGAAAAAGTCATGAGCTTTCCAACCTTCCATTCTTTGAAGTTTTTATTGATGCTCCCTTGGATGTTTGTGAAGGTCGTGATGTGAAAGGTCTTTACAAGAGGGCCAGATTAGGAGAAATCAGAGGTATAAATGCCAAACTAGTGGTAGAAGTATTTTTACTTTAATAACAAAGTTAAATTCAGAACAGCCCCATTAGATTACTTGACCTGAGTGAGGACAAGTTCACTTAAACTCAACCCGGAAGTATCTCACATCCATGTTTTTGAGTGCTGATTAGCTAGTTTTTTGTGCTTAAAAAAAGCTTCAAGATGGCAGCATTTCCTGCCCTTAGCTTGCTATCCACCAGAAGGGTTGCTAATCTTCTCCAAACTATAATAAATATTCCTTGCAATTGATATAGGATATTATCATATCTTTGAGATGTCTCAAAGTGTTTCAAATATACTGTAAAGTGAATTGACTGTATATTTTGTGGGCGGAACGCCCTACATTGAACTGTGCACGTACATGTCAAATGTGCACATCTGTGACCAGGGCTCCCTCTGCTTCCTCATCCTCTCCACCAGGTTCGACACAGTCGATCACGCCATCCTCCTCCACCGCCTTTTCACCGTCATCCACCTCAGTGGGACCGCACTCGCCTGGTTCGAGTCCTAGCTCACAAACCTCCAGCAGTACATCTGCACAAACAGCTTCTCCTCCCGTTCTCACCCGGTTACCTGCGGGGTCCCCCAAGGTCCATCCTTGGCGCCCTCCTCTTTCTGATCTACATGCTCCCTCTTGAGGATGTCATCCGCAGACATGGGGTACATTTCCACATGTATGCGGATGACACCCAAATCTATTTTTCCATCTCTTTGCAACCCCCTGATGTTCTGTCAGACTGCCTGTCAGAGCTCAGGGGCTGGATGAGCGAAAATTTCCTTCAACTTAACATTGACAAGACAGAAGCTATACTCTTTGGCTCTCGTCAACATATAAAATCTCACGGTTCTCACCTCCTCCACCTACCTGACTTCCCCCTAAAACTCTCTAAACCCGTACGCAACCTAGGTGTCAGGTTCAACCCCTAATTATCCTACCTCCCCCACATCTGGACTGAATGACTTACATTAGTGGAGTCCTGTAGCTCAGTAGAGCACTTGCTTTGCAAGTGAGAGACCTGAGTTCAATTCCAGGCAGAGGGCGAAACCTTGGGCAAGTTTCCTTACTCCACACAGAGCCTAATAATAATCCCTCCAAAACAAAACAATAATAAATTGGTCATTTTCAATCCACGACTGTTTGTGGGACATTGCTGTGCGCAATTGGCTGCCGCGTTCGCCCACAAATATACAGTCAATTCACTTTACAGTATATTCTGTGAAGCGCTTTGGGACGTCGAGAAGACGTGAAAAGCGCTATATCAAATGCAAGGATTATTATTATTATTATCCGGTCGCTCACCAGCACCGCTTTCTTCCACCTCTGACGCATCACCTGTCTCCGCCAATACCTCTCTCTGAAAGCCACTGAAACCCTGGTCCATGCCTTTGGTACCTCTCAGCTGGACTAGTCAAATGCCCTCCTCGCCGGTCTCCCCTCCACTACCATCCATAAAATCCAGATTATTCAAAACTGCCATCCACATTCTCACCTGCACCAAATTCCACTCCCTGATTACCCCAGTCCTCGCCAGACTGCACTGGCTGCCTGTCCCAGAGAGGATAGACTTCAAGATCCTCCCCCTGGTCTTCAAATCCCTCCACTCCTCTGCACCCCTACCTCTCTGATCTCCTCTCTCCTCAAAACAGTGCCCGTTGCCTTCGTTCCTCTGTGTCAGGCCTCCTCCTTTTCCCCCAAGTCCTCCGCTCCATCCTCGGCGGCCGTGCTTTCAGCCACTGTGCCCCAAGGCTCTGGAACACCCTTCCTCACTCCCTTCGCCTCGCCCCCTCTCTTCCTATTCTCAGGTCTCTGCTGAAGACCTTCCTTTTCGACCGTGCCTTTGGTCACCTTCCTCCCCCTCCTCCTGGCTCAGCCCCAGGATCTGTTACTGTGAAGCGCTCTGAGACGCCGTCCGGCGCGGAGGGCATTATATAAATCCAAGTTGTTGTTGTCGTGCATTCAGTGCAAGAGACACGGGCATCACTTCCTGAGTATACATGTGATAAACAGGAAGTGCTGTTGATGTCACAAACAAAGTGGCACCAGTGACATTTTGGGGACACAGCGCATTTTTGTGCAGAGCATAGAAAGTGATATCAGCCCTGAACTGACAACCTGAACGGACACGAGTCTGACATATTAGACTCAGACAACCAAATTGTAATGGTTATAGTGTATATTATTGCACTGTATTATTGTAGAACCCTGTACACTTAGATAAAATACATTTTTGTTCATCTTGATAATTTCAAGTTCACAGAATTGTCAATGGTAAGATATCAAAGATGGATGTACATACAATTACAGTTTCTTCTACTTATGACAAACCTGGTCAATTATTGACAGAGATATCAAAGGGGAGGACAAGTTTGCAGGGTTATGGGGAGAGCGCAGGAGAGTGGGATTGATTTGGATAGCTCTTTTGAAAGAGCCAGCACAGACACGATGGGCTGAATGGCCTCCTTCTGTGCTGTATGATTCTATGATTTTATGATCAGTGGCAAGTATGCAGAGAGCCAATGTTCAGTATTAGGGCAGCATTTGAACTTCACTATTGGTGATCTATAGTAACCTGCAGGATGTACCATGTTTGTGTCTACATTGAAAACAAAGTCAAAATAATTTGCTGAAAACTCTGTTGACCTTGAACCCTCTATTTAAACTAGAATGAATGTTGAACATTTAGTAATCTCTCTGGTGGTGACTCCCTGGATCAAGGACGTTTTAATATACTACATGTTCAAATTTGTTCAGGTTTTGAATCCTGCCATAATTTAAATCTGCAATAAAGGTTTGTCCATCAAACAAAATAACTGAAACATTATTAACGTTTTTTGTAAGTTCTTTTAAGAACATCAGAAAAAACTGCAAAGTTTGAATTTAGCAAAATTTTGGATGCCCTAAAATACTGTAAAAGTAGAATGGATCTAGACCCAAATAGAATTTCTCCTCATCTCTATTGGGTCAGAGTAAACTGCAAAATATAGCTCTGGCATCTTTGCCCTAACTTCAGAAGAGCACCCCTTCTGCTCCAGCATTCTACTGTATAATATTGGCAATTTAAAGCCTATATACATATAGGGTATTTTTGTGTTAGAGATTCATGGACCACTTGCAATCATGTTGACATTGCCTGAACTCATTCCTTGACAGATTTTTGCAGCTGTAGAGAGGGGAAACCTTTCTCCCAGTTGCTTATCCACTGATCTGCTCACATTACTCCACAACGTTTCAAAATATTTTATTGGTCTGCAACATTACTTGTTTAAAATGTTAATCAGAATTCAAGACCCTCCTCTTCGACCATGCCATCGGCCACTCCCCTTCCGCTCCCCTCCATTCTCCCCCCCGACCCCTCCCGACGTGAAAGGCGCTATACAAATGTAATTTTGTTGTTGTAAATGGAATGTGATCTAATTGAATTCAACCCTTAACAATCAAAGTTCTTTACATTCCAGAAAAATTGTAGGTATATTTAGCTCACCTTATTTCTCTGTACAGGATTTACCGGTATTGATTCCAACTACGAGAAACCAGAGAATCCTGAGTTAGTACTGAAAACAAACACGATGCCTGTGAATGAGTGTATTCAACAATTGGTGGAGCTCTTGGAAGAGAGGGTGAGTGAAAAACCTGCTCCAGATTACTCGTAGATCTCAGCAAAGATAATGCTGATTGGTGAGATTAATGTTAATAGAATTATTACTGAACTCTTCCAGAATTGACATTACAACATGAAAAGCACAAAAGACTTTTGTTTGCTTTGGACAGGAATAATGCACTTTAACTTGTTTTTCCTGAATAAGATTTAGTGATCCATTGTATGTTAATTTTTCAAGTGCACCCTTGTTAGCATAAGGAGCCAGACACATAATATATCAAACCATATTTTGAGCTCTGATGGTTTTAGCTCTCACTAATTTGTGACTTCTCCTCTGTGTAGTGACCCACCGAGTAATTGCAAGGGATTCAAAAAATTAGCGGTGGTGATCGCTATACGTGGCACAATTGTTTCCTAGCTGTGATACGGGTTTAAAATCTTAAAAGTTCCTTCTTTATGTCCCATTGTGCAAACCAGTTTGCTGGCTGCGAGAAAGGCATTGGTGGGGATGGGAGGTAAAAGAGGTCAGATGAGAACCAAATGTCTGCTAGGTATCTATTAATACAGTATTGCTCATAACAAGCCCTCAAGGTACGAGTAGTAATGCCCAAAGTTAATTTGTCCTCCAAATGCATCCTTCCTGATGCAGCTGTTTACAGTAGGTCACTCAGCTAAAATCACAATTTACAAGATTGGGAGGGAGGAATTTGAATTTTTTTTGGAAATGACAGAAGAATCTAACATTCATCTGCAAATGATTTCTGAAACCTGGCCCACTACAAGATGGGCCAGTTTACATGTACAGATAATTAGTAAATGTTTCATTATCAAACTGAAGTAGTGAAAATAGAATACATTTAAAATAGCTTTTCAAGTTAAGCCTTGAGCCTGCCTGGAACCTACTCTGCAACGTTAATTAATCTGTGCTTTTCTAACTTATTTCGAACCTATCCAATAGCAGACAAAACTGGTGTGTTTATTGTTTCTTCAGGGAATAGTTCCTGCTGCTGCCAATGAAGAAGTGAGGGAACTTTTTGTGCCTGAAAACAAACTAGACTTGGCCCAGGCTGAAGCTGAGTCACTGCCAAAACTGCAGATAACAAAGGTAGGACAAGAAACAGCAGGACACAACTTTTTATATTGTTAATATATTTTACCGATGTGGCATTTTGATTCTACATAGATAAACCCATTCCAAAAATAAATTTACACTGTTTGATTTTGTAATAATGCCCATTTTTAATTAAACATTTGGGGCTTATTTACTACCAAGTGGGCAGCGTTGTTGCCTCATTGCCAGTGGAATTGGTCGCCACCTTGCCTTTAACATTGGCTGGAAAATAATTGTTTAAATATGTAAAGTCACTGGTATTAGCATTCGAGCATTTACTAGGCTGAAATCATGGTTGCTGTTAGCAGTGAGGGTGAATGCTGTCATCTTGCCAAAGGCAATAAGAATGGGACACATGCTTCACATAAAATGCATATATTCTCCCAGCGAACACATTTCCCTGAGCTCCTGCCTGCCTTGTCTTCTAAAAGAAAAGCTTTAAATGTTTGGAGGACTATTAACGCCAGCTTCTTATTGACCTCAACACTTGTGCAGTCTTATGCTGAATTTAATGGCTGCACTGCTTATCTGAGTGCCAGTCTCAGCATTTAATTTGTTAAAAATTCTAAAAATCCAACTGCTGAAATTTGTTTCAAAAATTCAACTCCATCATAGAATGTCCAGCTATCAGAACCAAGATGAAAGCCAGCCTCAACTTTGAAAGCAATGCAGTGTTTATTTTTTTTCCTCATATGATTTTCTGTGCCGTGAAAAGAAAGAAAGTGCAATTTATTTGTTGTTTCTTTTATACACACAGTTGGATCTGCAATGGGTGCAAGTTCTAGCTGAAGGTTGGGCTACTCCACTTTCAGGCTTCATGAGAGAGCGAGAATTCCTGCAGGCCATGCATTTCGGCACTTTATTGGATGGTAAGGATCAGAGTATGGCATCTTCACACTGTATCTGTCATAATGATGTTCTATTCAAGGTAAAGTTTCACAAGTATTTTATTCATGTCGCCTCTTAGACCACTTCTCATTTGTCGCTGTTGGATAGGATTCAATTTAGTGCATGTATTATCTCTAGCAGTTTTGATTACTTTGAAGGACAGGGTAGGACAATTTAAAGTTTGGCTTGTCCATAAGCTACCACTCTCCCATTCCCTGCCCTTAGCCTGTAAAGTACTTTGAATTGTTATCCCATGTGAAAGGACATAGAATTATAGTATGTATAGAATTATACAGCGCAGAAGGAGACCATTCGGCCCACCAGCTCTTTGAAAAGAGCTATCCAAATCAATCACACTCCCCATAGCCCTGCAAACTTGTCCTCCCCAACAAATGTAAGTTGTTGTGGATCTAAACTGCGTTTGTCAGGCAGTTTGTTTCAATTTTCTAATTGGACAAATTCCAAAAATAAAATGTAATGGTTACCAACTTTAACATTGCATGCAAACAAATCGCAAATCTAGCCTGCTAATGATCCCTTCTAGCCTCAGGTGCCTCTTTCAATACTGACACTCCTGGTAGCTAAAAATATTTTAACAATAAATACAAAAAAACAGTTATTTTATCTTCCAAACACCAGTACCTTGACAATAGTAACAGCAGGAAATAGGCTAGAAGCAAAGTTGTCTGATATTTGGCAAAAATTCCATACCTCAAAAGAATGTATGATGTCTTTGGGTCATGGAGTCCTGTAGCTCAGTGATTAGAGCGCTCGCCTCGCAAGTGAGAGACCTGGGTTCGATCCCCAGCAGGACAACTTTCCTTATTCCACGTGCCTGATAATAATCCCTCAAGAAAAAAATAATAAATTGGTCACTTCAATCCATGACTGCTTGTGGGACACTGCTGTGCACAATTGGCTGCCACCTTTCACTCACAAATATACAGACAATTCACTTTACAGTATATTCTGTGAAGCGCTTTGAGATGCCTAGAAGATGTGAAGAGTGCTACATCAAATGCAAGGATTATTATTATGGTTGCGATTGTAATAACTAATTCCAAAGTACTGGTGTATTAGTACTTTTGTTTTTATCAGCAACTCAGAACACCGCAATCCACTAACCATAACCGCACTAATTTGTTCTATTACTGGGTGACCTCTTTGTACTTCTTACCTTTATCTGATTGGCTTTCTTAATTGCCCTTTACTTCTTAAAGATATCCTACAGTGGTTTCTATACATGCATGATACAGAGTGTGATAACATAAGAGGTTGTAAACATATATGTTTTTAAAAAAACAAGAAACACATGTAGTGGCAGAATAACCTAATTCCCACAGAACAATAAATAGTTCAGACCTCGGCTTGTGCCATTTGTACTGATTGTAATATTTTGATTACCTGAGGCTCCAGGGCTAAACTAAGAATTCTGGCTCTTATTACAGTCAAATTTCTTATTGAATTAATATCTAGATTCACCCATTAAGAATAGACACTCACCCAAGTACCAGCAAGGACCCTTAGGAGAAGAGGATTCGGAACATCATTGGTAACCAAGCACCGACAATATTAAAGCTACATGAAAGTTATCAACAATTGTTGATAAGGAAATGCTATAATGAACTATTAAGTTTCACAAATATATTATTTATTCAGTCAGAAAGGCCACATGAATTTGGCAAAGCTCACTTAACGAATATCAGCCTCATCATATAGATATTCTTTAAATGATTGAGCAACTAATTCTACTCTCACCAGCTGCAGAAACTTTGATTTTTACAGGGAAGATCTATTGTCCTTGATAACTTTTGGAATGAGGAATCTTGACTTGACTTTGTATCAGCGGGTATGATACTACATGTCTACTGATAACATACACTTCAGAGTAGAAACCAAGTTAGCACAACATTCAGTCTTTAGTCTTTGCCATGTTTGACATAGATTGAGTATTTAAACAGGCTGGATTATGAACTAGAATCCCTTAGTTTGCCATTTAGGAATTAACAAAAAAGTGGATAAGAATACTTGATAATTGTGGCCCCTATTGGATATATAGTGAATAATTCAACTGTTCTATGGGGTTTTAAGTCGTGCACTTTAATAACAAGCAATGCATGACTTGTGCTGCTCTGAAAGCTAACCATCTTTCTCTGTCCCAGGTGGGGTCATCAATATGACTATTCCGATTGTTCTGCCAATTACCACAGAAGACAAGGAGCGGTTGGCTGGATGTACTGGCTTTACACTCATGTATTCAGGCCGCAAGGTGGCCATCCTTCAAAACCCAGAATTTTTTCAGCATAGGAAAGAGGAACGCTGTGCGCGACAGTGGGGAACAACTTGTGAAAAGCATCCTTATATTAAGGTATTATATTCAACATTAATTCATACTCTGCCTCTCCGGGGAAGTGGCAACATTCATGCTTTAATGACCCCCTCTGCTTTTTTTTTTATTATGAGCTTCTATGTGAGGTGGACTGCTAGCTACCATGAAGAAAATTAGCCAAATTTCCCAGGATTGAATAGCATCAGATCTCATTGCTTCCACAGTGAGTTGTATGATCGCTGAAATTAAAACAACAACAAGATTGCATTTATAGAGCGCCTTTCACATCGGGAGGATGTCTCAAGGCGCTGGACAGTTGGGTCGGGACCCGAGCAGTGGGGAACTGGTCAGGGTGAGGGGAAGGAGCGAGGAGGGGGTAGAGAGTCGAGAGGGGAGGTGAAGGCACGGTCAAAGAGAAAGGTCTTGAGACTGGCCTTGAAGGAGGAAAGGGAGGAAGCAAGGCGAAAGCACTGGGGGATGGAGTTCCAGAGCCTAGGGGCTGAGAGGCTGAAAGCCCGGCGGGGGATGTGGAGTGGAACGGAGGGTACGAGCAGGAAGGTAGGGGGATAGTAGGTCGGAGAGGTAGGAGGGTGCAAGGCCGTGAATGGCCTTGTAGGTGAGGATGAGGATCTTGAATTTGATCCTCTGGGGGATGGGGAGCCAGTGGAGGTGAGCGAGGGTGGGAATGATGTGGTTGCGAAGCCTGGTGCGGGACAGTACACGAGCTGCAGAGTTCTGAATGATCTGCAGGTTGTGGAGGGAGGTGGCGGGAAGGCCGGCGAGGAGAGAGTTCCCATAGTCCAGCCTTGAGGTGATAAAGGCGTGGACCAGTGTTTCAGCAGCGTGAGGGGTGAGGTAATGCCGTAGTCTGGCGATGTTCCGGAGGTGGTGGAAGGCGGTGCCAGTTGTGGCGCGGATGTGGGGAGAAAGGACAGCTCAGGGTCGAACAGAACGCCGAGGTTCCTGACTGGCTTTGAGAGGTGGAGAGTGCAGCTTTGGATTCTGATGCTGTCAGCGCCTGAGGTGCGGAGGCGCTGACACGAGCCAATCAGGAGGGCCTCAGATTTGTGCACGTTGAGCTGAAGAAATTTGTCTCTCGTCCAGGACTCTAAGTCGGACAGGCAGGCTGTCAGGCTTGTAACCCCCAAAAAACTATGATGCTCTGTGCAGCTCGGAATTCGTGATGTTGTGATTTGCAGGACGATGTCATATGTCCTACACTTCCATTGTGGGCAAAAGTTTTTTTGAAAAACAATGCGAAAAGTTCCACAGCTGTGCTGAACATTACATTATTTTTATTGTTCAGTTTGGGTCCATTAACTCAGTTTGGATCCATTAACTTATCATGTCACTTACAGGTCATTGCTGACTCACTTGCACATGACATCACTTACAATGCATTTGTGCTATTCACAAGTATCCAGTCAGTCTGGTATAGCTATTGTAGCAAGGTTTCCAACAACTTTGATAATATCTGTTATCTAGAAAATCACACTCTTAATGCTAAGAGAGTTGTTTTACAACAGCGTATCAAGCTGTGAAATTCTGATGTGAACCACAGATACTCCAGTAACCGCAATTTTAAAAACAACTTTCAGATGGTAATGGAAAGTGGAGACTGGTTTGCTGGGGGTGAACTTCAGGTCTTGGAGAGAATCTCTTGGAATGATGGGCTGGATAAATACCGCTTGACCCCAAAGGAACTCCAGAAGAAGTTTAAGGACATGAATGCTGGTACAAATTCTCTTGTTCTGATGTAACAAAAAAAAACTAAATTTCCATGGGTTTTGTTTAGAACATTGAAGTTTTATTGATGCTGTTTCAAGCATTGTTTCGCTTCACTCCTTACAGCTAAAGAATCTTGTGCAAATATACAGATTAAACAATGGAACTTGAAACTAAGTGACTAGAACTCAGACAATATCTTAACTGTTTAACTACTTGTGGACACTCTTGTTATATTTAGGGTAATGACTATTTTAGAGGGAGGCAAAGTGCAACCACATGATACATGGGTTATACAGGACATGGAAGATGAATTGATCGTGGTTTGCAGGTCTAATATTTGACTAGGCTTTGTTGAGTTTATTAGAATCAAACTATGATGCTGGAATGTATCATTGGCAGGAGCAGACTTGTCTGCAGAAGTTGGATAAAAGGAAGATTTCTCAGATCCGAGTCTGGTATTTAAACAATGTTATGAAACATACTGGCATTACTGTACTGGCATAGATTGTTCCCAACAGTAGACATGGAGGCGAATATCCAATTCTCATTTTCTCCAAAAATGTCAAGTTGATCCCTTTCTTGTCTTTGTTACAGATGCCATCTTTGCATTCCAGCTCCGTAACCCTGTTCACAATGGCCATGCTCTCCTAATGCAGGACACCAAACGTAGACTTCTCGAGCGGGGTTACAAACACCCTGTGCTTCTTCTGCATCCGCTTGGGGGCTGGACTAAGGATGATGATGTTCCCCTGGAGTGGCGCATGAAACAGCATGCAGCCGTACTGGAAGAAGGCGTGTTGGACTCAAATGCAACAGTTGTAGCGATTTTCCCTTCACCCATGATGTATGCTGGACCAACAGAGGTCAGTAAAACACCAAAGAAAGGAAGGGAGAAAGTGAAGAGATTTAAATGAACAAAGAATCTTGGAACCAGATTCCAAACCGTTCGTTATTCACAGGGGCAAATGGGATCGATTTGAATTGTGCAATTAAGTCTGTTCTGACGTGTTTGCATGGTGACTGATAACTGATCTGTTGTCCTAAATCTCATTTGTTGTCACTGATAGGTTGGATTCACTTTCTTCTCGAAACAAGCGGTTGTAGTTTGAAGCCTAAATTAGGAAACTTGTAGTTCTGCTCAGGTTTAGAGTTCTCCTAATAATCTTTACATGCTTCTTTCACAAGATTGACATTGTACCACACATCACTTCAAATTCTTTCAGTAAATTGATGTGAGGTATCTGAAAGTAGCTTTTTAAAACTTCATTCATAATAGTTGTAATGTATTACAGTAAATCGTGAGGTCAGAGGAAATATCATGAATTTTAAATATTCAGCATCTCTTGGCTAAGAGATAAAATTGATAGTAAATCATGGTATTCTCTACAGGAATAGTTATCTTTAAGGATATCTTAAAAATGCCAAACCACCCAACCTTGTAAATGCTTCAGTGAGCATGAAGAATTCAGAATCAGTTCGATGCACAGAAGACCAACCTCCCCGATGACAACACCAGAAACAGACACTAAACTTATCCTTTCTGAGTAAGCAGGCCCTTATTTGAAATCCATGCCCTTATCCCTAGAAGCATTTTCAGGGTAACTTATTTTACAGCAAAAGCTTCATAATGGGCAGCGAGCAGTATTTTCTTCATCTGACCTGAGCATTAGCACCATGTGACCTAATCCAGACAGACCGGCGCTTGCTGCAGATTAATTGGGTATTCACCTCATGTGTGTCAATAGAACTTTGCTGTGTACAAAAAGCACAAATGTACATTACAGTAATTTTATGCACTTTTGTGACATTGTGGGTGCTTTAAAAAGGCAAGATCTCGCACTGCTAAAAACAGCCGATGTTCACAATCAGAGGTAACAAGTGAATACTTTGGAAAAGGCAGCTGAGGGGTGTTCGCACATTGTAGCATTATTTACAATGATTCTAAAAGAAGTGAAGAAAATTGAGGGAAAAATCTCACCCCAATCAATCAGATATGAAAGACGTTTTATCATACCTGGATGTTTTCATGATTTGAACTTACATTTTTAGAATGTTTGTAACAATAAAACATCTCAAAATATTTATAGTAATTACCATTTCAAGCAGTGACAAGCGTTTGTAGGCAAAACATGGCTGGTAATCATTGGGTAAACTGTAAAGTACCACAAATACCCATGTGGCAAATATCTAATTCATCTACTGCAAGCGTCAAACATGTTGCAAATATAGGGACATTTATATTTTATATATAAAACAATTTTTCAACCCAAAGTGCTTTGGAGTATCTGGCTTCCGAGCTTCCATAAAAGTATAGGTCCCAATCTAGAATTAGCAGAAATAAATTGACACAGGCACAGTTCCATGTGCCAGTCTGGTCTGGATTTGTATATCCAGTGCAAAATGATCAGGGGCATTTATTTCAGCAAAGTGATTGTTTTATCTTGTTTTGTTTTAATAAAGTTGTGCCGCTTCTGTGAAGAAGGCAGAAAGTGAGCTCAGTCTGTTTACCAAATCACTGTATAGTTAAATTGCCTGTGCTAAGGAAATCCTAATCCTTCAGAGAAATTTGTATATCCGATGTGTTCTTTTCTCCATCTTTTGATTCACTCAAGTGCTGCAAATAGAAAGTGTTTGATCTTTATACCAAAGTTTCAAATCATTAATGTTGGTCATTTGTTCAGTTTATTGAACACTATTGTCTCGCAAATGTTTATGTTTATTCCACACTATGCTGTTTATTTATTTTTATGTTTATTTATGTTTACACATTATGCTGTTTATTTACAGGTTCAGTGGCATTGCCGAGCTCGAATGATTGCTGGAGCCAATTTCTACATTGTAGGACGTGATCCCGCAGGCATGCCTCATCCTGTCACCAAGAAAGATATGTATGAACCAACACATGGGGCCAAGGTTCTGGGCATGGCCCCAGGCATGAACTCTGTGGAGATCATACCCTTCAGAGTTGCAGCATACAACAAACTAAAGAAGTGCATGGACTTTTATGACCAAGAAAAGTAAGAAATCGTAGTAATAAGTTTTCATACATAACTTGCATATGCAAGGACCTGACTTAATTCAGTAATTATTTTGTTTTGCCAGTGCTGAGCCACTGCGCTAAATATAAACCATCTCCAGGGACGGGAATACATTGGAGAAGGGGAGATAACTAAATTGATTGCAAATCTACTCTCGGCTCAAATTGTCTGCGCTCTCCTACTCCCCACTCTCATCCAGTATTGAGCTGCCAAATTATATTGGTGCAAAGTGTATTAGGATAAGACTGATACATTTTGATACTCAGACTTTTAACAAACTTGTATGCCTGTGGTTTGTGTTCGCTGATTATTGGTAAGCCTACTCTATGAGTTGTCTCTACGGAGGAAGGGGGATGAGAGGGGAAAAGAAAAATAATCTTGTACTGTTTGCTGAGCAACACCCTCGGAGGGCTTGGCTGCAATTAGGATCTTTATTTACGATATATACTGGAACAGGAACCCATACCCTTCCAACCATGGCACCCAATGCACTTTATACACTGACCCATTCCATCATGTCTGAGAATTGAAATATTTCATTTGCTGATTTCTTGTGATTCCATTATTTTTAGACATCATGATTTTGACTTCATCTCTGGCACCCGAATGAGGCAGCTTGCTCGCGAAAATCAGAATCCACCTGATGGTTTCATGGCTCCCAAGGCTTGGAAGGTGCTGACGGATTACTACTCCTCATTGGAAAAGAAAGCTTGACAGACTACTTTTAACATTCAAAAGCTAGTTCTGATACCACACAGCAACTAGCCAATTCTTATTTGCTTTTCTATTCTTTTCTTTTAAAACCATAAATTTATTATATTTCAATACTTGTGTAAATTGGGATGAATATTGATTGATCAAGATGTCAAAATGATGATCTAGCTGCAAAAGTAGGGTCTTAGGTGATCAGATTTTTTAAAAAAATGTAGGACATCATCCGTACAATTTTTTTAGTTCTTTATAGTCTTAAATGAAATTCTAAAATATATTCTGTTTTTTGCTGTAGCCATTATTTTCATATAAAAGTATTTATTTTAGAATTCTAAGAAGTTATTTAAGAATGTTTTTATATACACTGCACATTTCTCTCAAAATGGCTGTGTAGCACTGTTTTAAATGTTTTCTTCTGTTGATTTGGAACTGTTACCTCAGATACTAACTGATGTGTGAAGGAATTAAATTTAATACAGGTTCCATTTGAAAGGGATAGTTGTTGCCGACTGGAGCAGCTTATTAACCAAATGTGAACGAAAGTTAACTTTACAGAAACCATTGGTATTTGGTGCTAAGTGATGTATGTGATCACTTCTTTAGTATCACAGAAATGTTTTCAGCCGCTAATGCTGGAAGTTAGGTTACAATTCTGGATGTGTGGGCAAAAAAATGATACAGGTTGTTTGATGATTCCTCAGTGGTTTTGTAACGTGTAAATAATTGACTTGGTTGGCCTTGGAGCAGGACAAGAGAAAGTAAGCGTCAAATAATGATTTTGCAGCACAAAGAAGAAATTAAATGATTAGGCAAATAGGGTGCAGATTCTGTGCCAAACCATTATAACAGAAAGAAGATGCACTTAACTTGCAGCAGTGTCTCCATATTCCTTTTGGTGCTACTTTCCAATTCTGTCCGTGATGGAGGGGAAAACACAGCTTTAGAGATTAGAAATAGCAATTGCCACATGTGGAGCAGGATTCTCCCTGTGTGTCCATTGTTTGGGAGATTCAATGCACAATTCCTAGCAAGAAGGTTGCACGATTAGATCCCAGTGATATCCATCACATGCACCAGGCGGGATATCAAATAGGAAGATGATAGAATGGGTATTCTGGAAGGATGAGATCAACTGGACTTTCCTCATCTGAACTGCGCTTGTGATCTTGTAAATGGTGAAACATTCCATCTTGGGAAGGTAAAACCTGAGAAAACTCATTATCTTTAGATCATACCTCTTGCTAATGGATTAAGGAATACTGTAAATGGTGACCTTGAACAAGTTCACCAGCACTAATGTCCTTCCCACATAGCAAAGGGAGCTACATATGAGGGAGTGAAAGATCATGAGACATTTGGGAAATTAGAGTACTTTCCAGCATCAGCCACATGACTCAGTCATTTTAGAAACATTAAGGGACTTTTCAGTTAAGATTTACATTCACTTGCTCTTTCATTTTAAAAAGTTTCGATTGAAAAAGTGATTGAATGGTTTTAAATTTCTTTAATATGAATAATAGCTACAGCAAAATGGTTATGTGAGCTTCTAGAAAATTGTTTTAATCTTAATTCAAATGAATCAACTCGTGCCTTTCCCAAGAATGTTCAGAATTGTTACTATATATTTATTTGATAGATTGGAATATTTCCATTGTGCCTTAATCTATGTAAGCTTTTAATACATGATAAACTGTACCTATCTAAACTTTGCATATCAATATCATGTATGCTTAATATAAATAAATATGAATTAGTCATCATAACTATTGAGTTCTCAAAACATAAAATTATAGATTATTCAATGAAGTGTACGTGTTGCTACTAATGGACTTTGAATGAAAGGCCAAGTGGTTACAGATTCAAACCCCAGGAGTTTGAATTCATTGCCCAGGTTGACATTCCAATCCAATGCTACTGTTGGACTTTGCATTCCAGACATAGGAATATTTCCATGGACAAGACAGCATCCATATATATGAAACTCTCAGTCAACATAAGATGCAGACTCTGCAGCCCTTGTCAAATGGTTTTCAAAATAGGCCAAATCCTAGCTTTTCAGCCACTTTTTAAAAAAAGCCAATGAATGTCTAAGACTTGAGAAGGATGCATTACAAACAGAACTGAATCAATCCCTGCCAAGAGTTGCAGGTTAAAAATAAAAGTAGGAACTGAACAAACTCCTTTGAATCAGACATTAAACCGAGGTCCCATCTGCCTGTTCAGGTGGATATAAAATTCCCATGGTACTGTTCGAAAGGAGACAGGAGCTTCTCCCGTTGTCCTGGCCAACAATCCCCCAAATAAAATTGGTCATTGACTCCACGGCTGTTGGTGGGACATTCATGTGCGCAAACTGATTGCTATGTTTCATCCACTTTAGAGTATATCCTGTGAAACGCTTTGAGGTGTTTTAACAACATGAAAGGCACTATATCAAATTATTGTGAAATCACACTGGCAAGGTTACCAAAAGACATTAGCTTAATGAAGATATTGCACAACATCTAAATGACTGCAGAATGGAATACTTATTGTACTATTAATTTTTTTTAAACTGCACAAGAAACAATATTGTGCAATTGTGCCTCTTTCTAACAACCTACATCCCACCATTTTGTGGTTCACCAACACATTTCAGAGATTTCCTGTGATGGGTTGCATCAAAAAAATTAAAGCACTTGCTTCACATGATCAAAACTCATCTGCTCTTTGGCTTACAGACTACTAATAATTCATAACTGATAGACTAATGGAAAAATTAATATCTGAATAAGTCCCATCATGTATGGTTCAACAAAAACAACAACTTACATTTATATAGTGCCCTTCAGGCAGGGTGGAGTTTCGGATTGCTGAAACCAGGTTCATACCCAACTACTTACATTGATCTATCAAGTAAACTTTCCTTTTATGAATGGGTCAGTGTTTCTTCATAAAGAATCTTGCTAGAATTCCCATCAACGCATGAGAATGCACCTCTGGAAATAGATTGTATACAAATGGAATTCCCACAGGTAGGATTGATGTATTTCTGATTACTGGAAGGAAAACTCATTTGTTTGATCTGAATTTCTTATTAAGAAATCCCATTAAGAAACATTGCAAATTAAACCCCAATATTAAAGAGGAATATTAGTATATAAACAGTTCTTTTACATAAAATACATACATCCAATAGATCATGTCACTGAGGAACCATCAAGGAGACCCTGCATAACATCCCCCATAGAGGAGCTTTACAAAGTCTTGCATAAAAACAAGTCTCCAGGAACACAAGGAAGCATGGATACTGCTCCTTCCTCAGACTATCAGTTTATCTTGATAAGGCAGAAAGTTTCTGCATAAATACATGCACATCCTGATCCCGAAGCTAACCGTATGAAAATCCACATTATTTATTTGTTTATCCAACATGGCTAGCTCCCGTCTCCATCCTAGGCAAACATCACAAGACACAATGCATCCTGTGAAGTACTTGATCATTATCTGTGCTTGTTCCTTATCACCTTAAAACTTCCTCGCGCAATAGTGGGATTTCATGCTGAACCCATACCCGTTACAGAATATTAGCAAAAGAAAGTATTTAATTCTCTCCATTATTTAAAAAGTTGTATTCTTATTTTCAATTATCTTAAAATTTGCCTGCAAATATTGTGTGTGAGCAAACATTTACTAAGTGGATTCTCTTGTGTGATTTATATTCACAACACTGGGAATGCATTGAAACAATGAGTTAACAACTAACTGCTGCACCTCTCCTCTCAGGGTAGATCTTGCTGGGAGTTGTTCACTCTCCTACTTTAAATGGTTGTAGAGTGGTGTTTTGCCAAAAGTGAGATAACTCTGTAATGAATAGTATAAATATGACTTTCATTAGTTCAAATAAACAAAGCTGATAATACTAAAAAATTATTGCTTCCCCTTTAACAAAAACAAATCCAATTCAATAGAGGATATTCTATAGAAGTCTGTTACAAAATGGCTTTCAGTCCAGTGTTTCAAATAAAAAGCAGAATGTTATCCAAAAATCCTACACGCTGATCCTTTCAAATGCACGCACTGCACTTTACTAAGAGATTGCCCCAGGACACAGCCTGCAAGTTGACAGGCTTTCCTCCAACAAAATGAATTGTGGCTTGAATCACAAATATTTGATGATGTGTAAGAGTAGAAGAGAGGAATTTGAATCAGGTTTTGTGTTCCTTCAAAAAATCGTTATTATAGGGTTCAGAGAATTTGATGCAAATCTCAGAATGACTTCAATCTTACTCAGATCCAACAAAATAAGGTTAGTAAAAAGGAGAGAGAGAATGAATAATGTGGTGCAGGCAGAGACTGCAGAGCTATATGGAAATGTAATGTTAGATTTTCAGGCCTTCACAAACTGACTTTGATGTATGTAAGTTTTATTTTCCTCCCATTTCATCAGTTTCCACTGTATTTGCTGAAGTCTAAAATGAAAAAATACAACCATCTTCTGAGTGTGGTTTTTAATATGAGCATGATTTCAAAAGAAAATTAAATTAACTACTTTTTTATATAAAAAAAGACCCAGAGGAACTAAGTCAGACAGCACAATAAATTCCAATTACAGGAAAATGGTTGCCAGAAATGTAGTAGGCTGAATCCTGGGCTAATTGTTTTTTTAAAACTTCTTAAAAATACCATCAATACTAATTCTAGTGGGATTCCTTCCCAAAAGCTGCAGTAGCAAATACTAAACAGAACTACAAGTTCCAGCAATGCTTTGCAATGAGTTTCGCTCACAAAATACAGTAAATTAACTTTACATATACTCTGTGAAGTGCTTTGAGACCTCTCGAAGACGTGATAAAGCTCTATATCCAATGCAACGATTATTATTATGGCATTTCATGCATTAACAGACCATTTTGATTGCAATGCAGACAACAGAACTTCTCCCAGCGTATGTACAATATGTGGCAAATCCACACCTGTACAGTAGATAATACTTGCATTCGATGGAACTTTCGTGTTGGGAAGAATTCTGAATGCTTCACAGGATATACTGTAAAGTGCAGTGACTATATATTTTGTAGGCAAAATACACACCGCCTGCTGCTAAAACGATTTCACATACATTACAAAATAGTCACAAGCAATTAACGTGTTTTTGAAACTGATAATTTTTCAGTAGAGATTTCAAAACCCATGTTTAAAACTGTTACATAGTAAACTCAAACATGTGGTTGGAGTTGCTGAATTCGGGGAACTTACAAGGAGAATTAATTTGTTCAGGATTGTAAATCATACATGTGGATTCACTTCAGCATCTACACCAAAGTTGGCTATTGTACAAATACGTAGAAAAATTGCAAACAAACAGTGACATATTGTCCTTAGGATTAGAGGGAATCTGTTGTTTAACATTTGTGAAGGAAACTGATTAAAACAAGAAAGATTTCTGGATTATTTGTGGTAAATGTTTTTTTTGATGAATGAAGATCAAAATAAAGTTCCAGCTGGGGCCGATTTATTTTGGAATTTTAAAGAGAAATAGTTAATTAGGAGAAGATATTGTAATCCAATTAAAAACAAAAAATAAAATTTCTGCTGTCTAGCACAAAATAGTCAGTCTACCCAACCTACGGCATTAAGTACGTCTTCAGCACTTTCCCTCCCCAACCTTAGGCTCACAGTCAACTTTGAGACATCTCCCCCAACATGAAAGTCACAATATAAATGTAAATTGTTGCTGTAGTTGCAGATGCCTATATTACTTCAAGGTGGATTTGTTACTTTGGATTGGTTACTTTGGCACTGGACCACTACATTTTGTATGCCATAGAGGCTGCTTTTTGGAATAAGACAGAGTAAATAACCAGAACAGCAGTAGGAAAAAAAAATCTTCCAGGAAGAGAGAAGAGGAAGAAACTGAATGATAGAAATTGACAGACAAAAACCATTGCAACCAACTCTTAGTCAGTTACAACAGCTTGATGCTGTAAATGACAAGACACTCCGTGTGTGTTGGGGGAAGGTAGGATGAAATGAGCCAAAGGAACATCTAAATCATCTGGAATACTGAGTTTTCAAAATTCTGAATCCAGTGAAAACCCTGTGAGTCTTTTAATTACAAGTACTAATCATTCTCATTGCTCTTCTGAAATTCTCTACACTACAGAGGAGTTTAGGATTGGCTTGTTTTGTTGCCAAGCTAAGTAATTTGACTGGTTCAACTCCAGCAGTGCCCCCAACATACACACTCTGGGGTGCACAAGCCTTGACAGTATAATCTTGGCCTTGGCTCTTGCCAATCTCTGCCTAATACTCTCCAGAATTAGGTAAACAGGCTGCATTCCTCCAAAAAGTGTTAATTCCATTCCAGACCCAGGAAAATGTACACATGCAAGTAGTAAACATATCTGAAACTTTCAGTCTGGTTTGGATACTCAATAACAATAATAATCCTTGCATTTGATATAGCACCTGATCATGTCTTCAAGACGTCTCAAAGCGCTTCACAGAATATATTGTAAAGTGAATTGACTGGATACTGTGTCAGAAAATTTAAAGATGAAGTTTCCTCCTATGAGCACCTGATAGATTTAATTATAAACATTTTCTTAATGCTGTAAATCGCTTTTCTCCTATTAGCGCCAGATAGAATCAATCAATCACTACTAGTTGCAGCCATTTATAACTAGAAATAATAGGTCACAAAATACAGTATACATAATACTAAATGTAAATGTGGGCTATTATGAAATTTCTCGATTTTTTTCTGGCTCAATTTTCCCCA